GATGAATGTATGGATTGATACATAATAGAAAAATCAATGGAATAACAAGCATATGTATGCAGTAATTTCTAGGAGTTATCAAATATCTAATCACACTAGAAGAGTGGTACCCTAGCAGAAAATATTCTTGGTCTGGGAAGTAGTTTATTATGACTTTCTCAATAGGAAGCAGTGTCTCTGACACAGGACCTGAGAACCAGAGATTCAGTGGGTTCTGTTTGATTGGTTGGTTGGGTTTTTTGTTTCATTTTCAGATTTTCTTGGTGTGTAGAGCTTATCCTGTCTTGTCAGTAGGAAGCAGGTTCTCTTGCATAGGGCAGCCTTGTTATCCATGCTGCCATCTCTTGAGATGACTCCTTCCCTCTGTCCCCCCAGGGAAAGAGTAGGATTGAGAAACCCTGTCTGATCCAGGCCTGAAGGTGACTGGGGTGGTTAGGGTAGGCATCCCTTTACTTACCCATCAAGAGGAATTGTGCACTGGATGGTATTCATATAACCAAGGATCAGCAAGAAAGAAAAAAGCATTGTATACTGAGTTGATCTAAGATGCCTATGCAGGGGAGACTTCAGAAAGATAGTCTTATAGGCTGTGGATAATTGCCCACTTTTATGCTTAAGTTTTATGCCCCGTGGATAACTCTTTGGAAATGTCACTGTGAAGAATGACATGTAACAAACTGATGGAGGGTATCCCAGCAAGGCCTACCTGATTCGATTATTATGTAGGGGTAAGATGGTGAGGGCAGCCATGTTGGAAACATTTTCAAGTAGTAATAGACTGAGCATCAACAGGAGAGAAAGAAGGACATAAGAGGCCGCAGACACACTATAGTTGGGGTTGATAGCCTGATGGTCACCACTGCTGTATCAAGAAAGCTGTGGAATGAGGGATGACAAATTATGACACTGTGGGATCTGAAGATTGAATATCAACCACAAGATTTGAAAACAGGGATGGTGTGGATGTCTGTGGCCAGGGTGTGGCCAGAAGACATGGTAAATGGGATGCCAGATGCATGGTTATGTATGTCACAGTGGAGCTGGGTATGTATCTTAGTAGTAGAGTATTTGACTAGCATGTACAAGGTCCCAGATTCAGTCACGAGTACTGACAAGAACATGCTCTTTTTTAAAGCACAAGTGGAGTATATACTTCACAGTAACTAAAAGTATAATTAATGTATACACCAGTGACGTAGTCAGTGAGCTTTGATTCCAGATGCTATGCACTGCACATGGTTGTATGTGATAAATGTTGATGCCACTGATCGCATAGTATGCTCCTTTACACCAGCATTCTAGAGTCATTGACACTATGGTGGCTGTGGTGTGACTGGACAGTAGGACTATTTCTACCACCTTACAGACTCCCCAGATTATTGTCCTAAATGTGGTTCCCATGTCTGCACCATGTCCTTTGCATAGATGAGGAAACTGACATATGGGCCAATAGTGTAATGTGGTAGGAACACCAGACCTTGAGCAGAGACCCACTTCCCCATCAGCCTGGGAGTAGGCAGCTGTAAGACAATGTTTACTAAAAACATGTTTACTAAAAACAATACAATGCCCAGGGCAACAAGTTCCTGAACAGGGCTGGCCCACTGGAACCGCCCTGACCTCGACCTTGTCCAAAGACTAACTGCCTCTTCTGACACACCCAAAATCAGTTTCTGGTGTCAGAGCAGAACCAGCCAGGGGTAGAGAGAGAGCAGAAGCTTTTCTGGAGGGAGGCCTTTCTTGGGAAGTTTCCTTGAGCCTTTTCGGGGCCTGCTTAAAGTTTTCTTTACACCGTTGAACGAGTCTCTGTGTTGTCAATCCCCGACACCCTCCGCACATTCTCGGACACAGGCTGCGCAGCGGACGCGTCAGTGTGACTTACCTTAGATGGCACTGTCATTAGCTGGCAGCACTGTGGTTTAACCCCACAAAAGTTGGTTATACAGTTTGCGCCCCACATTGCTTTGTCTCAGTTCTACTTGACATCATAAATTGCCACAGCTTTCGTCAGTGCCTGGTATGCACGCAGAACAGAGCCCCACTCCAGAAACTCACTAGTAGTTCATAATTTGTGTCGAGGACCCAGACTTTACTTTCACCTCTTCCTGGCAGCCATTCCTGTAGCTTCCTGGAGACACTGAAAAAAAAAACAGACTCATCATGTGCTCTTAACTCTACCAGTCATGATGATACGGGATCTGGGAAGCACCCAAAGAAGAAAGAGTCATTTTTATGTTACGGTATCAAAAAGTTTCAAACATAACAAGAAAGTTTCAAAAGAGAGCTCAGAATTGAGTGAAATCATAAACACCCTGCATGCAGTTCCAGATGAGTCAGGGTATAAACAGAACAATTGGTGTACAGGCCCTCAGTGGTATAACTTCCGTCTCTTGTATGTGCTGTAAATCACCCCGTGTGAGCAGTAATATCCCACACAGCAATCAGTCTCTGTGGAGCACATTGTCAGATCCACCGTGTTACACAACACCAAGATCATCCTTGGCTTCAGCCTGGTGTGTCTCTTTCTTTTCATATCCAGCAGTTAGTACTAAGGCTTGAAACCCTTAGTTACAGAACAAAGTGGCTCAGGAGTAATGGAGCCTGTGTGAGGCTCTGAGAATAATGAAGGAGCCCAGCAAGCTTCCTGCCTAGATGCAGGTGCAGAAATCAGGAGCTCATGAATAATGCATAACATGCAGATTAGACGGCAGTTTATGCTACTGGGTTTTTGACTCTGCTACCTGTCTGGCTGCTATATGAGGAAAGAGGCTGGTAGCAGAGGCGCTACAGTTTCAAAGCCGAACGCCCCCAAACTCAGCGTGTCCTTTTGCAAAAATGAAATGGTAAACGACAGCTGACACGTAATAGTTGTCTGCATTTTTGGATGAAGTAAGCACCTTCAAAGGAAGAACATATTTCCTAGTTTCTACTTTGAGTTTAAGAAATGTTACACTTATTTGGTCATACAGATAATCAGAAGGTTTTCTTGTGTTTGGTTTTTTTTTTTTCCCCTAAGACTGCTAAACCATGATGGAAATTATGCATGTAGAGTATTTCATCTAGGATCACTGAAATTTTTTCATGTAGACACCAAGGTCTAGAAGGCTTTGTAGTCATGGAATAATGAAGCCCAGTCCCCCTCCCCTGAGGTGTGAATGGGGGGTGACAAGATACTGTGATCTTTCAACTCCAGCTGCTATAGTAGCTGCTACAGTACATAGTGTGGAAGACAGTTCCCATGCGCACTTTTAGGTTTAAGCAGGGCAGCAGTAAAGGGGTTAAGCATCTAAAGGACTTCATATGTAGTAGAGAGAGTGAATCCACGGGGCAGATGACTTCTGGAAATGTACTTAACTCTTAGGACCAGTGAGGGTCTGGGACAGTTCTTGATAGTCTCCCGAAGCTTTCCTCAGGCCAGTGACCTTATCTGGTTATCTGGGAAGTCATTTTGGACTCAGATATTCATCTTGAGGACTCTCTTTCATGATGGCAGGGAGAAATGAGTTTTGTTCCCTTTTGTGTAAAAGTCTTAGGTCCCTGTCTCCTACGTGTAGGCGTGTGTGTGTGTGTGTGTGTGTGTGTGTGTGTGTGTGTGTGTGTGTGTGTATCTTGAGGTGCTGCAACATGAGCTGGCTCTCATTTCTAGCTGACGCTGTCATTTCCGCTACGCCCCAGTTTGGACAGATGCCAAGACCAACAGGTGATCCTCCTAGCTGCAGAGCAGCAGGAAGTGGGCCTTGCTTGAATGAGGCAGTTCAGCAGAGGGGTTGTCTGGCCTCCCTCCATCTTTCTGCATAATTATCGCCCCCTCCCCCATGCAGAGAGGAAAATCTGTGAGGAGCAGCTCAGCTGCAGCCACCACTGAGAAGCCTGTGAGAGAGGGAATGCTAATCAGAGATGCTGGAGGAAATGCGCATCAATCCAGCTCAGGTTTGGGAACGATGGCTCCCCTCCCCCCCAAAAAAGGCTGGCCTGCCACGTCTGTTTTGATGTGATTTTCACTGAGTAGCAGTGAGGGGCCGGGCTCACCTGGGCTGCTGGTTTTAACAGGGCCTTAGGACCACTAAGATCATTTTGTTTCCTTTCTGGGTCCTTCCCTGATTCCTTCCCCTTCTCCTTCTCCTCATCCCTGTGAAGAAAAGCAATGTGAGGAGGGTAAAGAGTGAGGATGATGACTCAAGCTAAAAGAATGACCAGCTCTCAGGACTCGTAGGCAAGCAGTCCCAAGCAAGAAGTGTGGCACTAGGCAGCTGGGGTGTGGCATACTGCTTCCTGGGCCAGTAGGTAACTCCCAAAGATCCCCCAGCAGCTGCTGGAAGCTTTAAGCTCAAACCCTGTGCGACTCCAACCTAGGAAGCTCAGAAAGCAACTTATTTACTTCTATTACCTGGCTAAAGTTTTGGTTTCACTCCTTCCTCTACTCAGATATTAGGCATACGTTCCAGAAAGCCTGTCTCCTGGACATAACTGTCTGCCCTTCTGTCCTGCCCCGTTCACACACACCGCATTCCTGGACACTTGGATGAAGCCCTGCTGTTGTCCTGACTTCTACATTTAGAAACTGACTGAAAGTGTGGTCACTTCCCTGTCTCTTTGTGCAGTTTCTATGGGAACCAACATGAGAGGGCTCAATGAGGGCAGGTACCATGGCCTCCATGCTATTTTATGCACTCTTTCCCCCAGGCAAGGATTACATCTTCAGTACCTGTGTCTCCTGCTAAAGGAGTACATCTGTTCATTGAAACCCATGGTACTGCATTTGGAACCATCACAGTTAACGCATTATGCCTTGTTACCGTGGGAGAGATAAAGGAAGAAGGCTTCAGGTTTACAAACACAGGAATTTAATTGCATCTATTTACTAAGAGATGGTCAATTTCACAGGAGAGAACAAATGAGTAAACCTAAGAGTTCATTAATAAAGCAGATACTTTCTGCCTTTCCATTTGCAGTCCAGATTATGTTTTCTCAATCACTGACTTACTTTTGTCTGTCAACAGGGTACATCCATCCCCAGTATCCAGGGTCAGGGGAAACCGAATGAATAACCAGAAGTTTTCTTGGTGAGTACACAAGTTAAGTTATAAACATTCGTTAGTTTTTATTGCTGTGGATGTTTTCTTTTGTTTGTAGAAGCAATGTCTCGTGGATCCCAGACTAGCCTGGAATAAACAGACATTCACCACATCATTCTGTGCAACATTTTTTCCCTAGCTCAACTCCCCAAGAATAACCAACTCACCTTTGAAAACAGTGGTTCCCTTTTAAAACATGACTTATTTAACTCAGGTTATGCTTAGGTGTCACCTCCAGCTTCTCAGGAAAAATTCTAGTTAATTAATCTATTTATTACTTACTAATGAATTGCAACTATTATAAAATTAGCAAATTAATAAATAAAATGTATTAATCTTTAGATGACCTCCCTTCTCGTCATCTTACCTTGAATATTTATTGACTTGGGGGAGGGCAATGCAAAGGTATTGAACAGAATGCCCCAGAAATGGTGTGAAATTATTTCAGGCACATTTGATAATTCTTTGAAGAGACAACTTAAAGGACTTCAAAACTGTTTAATGTGAAACCAAGAAACTGAATTAATATTGGTTCAAAAATCTGCTTCTTTGTATTACTGTACAAAATTAGTCTTTCAATTCATAATGTATCATGGAAAAGAAGAAAGAAAGAAAAATGAAAGATTTGAGCCTTGTACTGTTACTTCAAAAATGGGTAAAATTCATAGATCTTTGTCTTACTTTTTTAGATTATGCTTAGAACAGGATTTTGATCGGAAACTATGTTTTTTGTTTTGTTTTTCTTAATGCGGTAAGATGGGTGACTGAGATTCCATCTCAATATTAATTTAATTCCTAAACCAAGATTATTTTTTAGGAATACAAATGGCACTTTGAATAGTACCTGATCAGTTGGCCCCCATTCTCCCAGTAATCTAATTAGCCCTCACAATAGCCTCGTGCTCTTGGGAAATATTATGCTTTGCTTTTTCACAGAGACAGAGACGGGAATGGAGGCCAGAGGATAAAGCCTTTTATTTGTTCTCACAGGGTGGGCATCCTTGATGGTCACTCTCAGTCTTTAAAGTATGCTGTCCCCTCTCAGACCTTGAATGATGAGGCAATAACAAAGTCAGGAGGTACAGAATGAAAGCAAGGGAGACACGGGTCCTGTTTCGACTCCATGGCATTTGCACTCCTTCTTAGTGGAAGGCACATTGTGCCAAGGAAACTTTACTCCATGAAGAGGGAGCATGAGATACTCAAGTGAGCAACATGAGCTGGAGATCCTAGGGGAGACTGTCAGCCCCGAGGTCCGGTTTCTGCCCCCTAGCTCTGAAGGGCTGAATGGGAATTGTAGATAATATATTTTCTTTCTCTCCCTTCTCCTTTCTATACAAGAAGTAAAGACAATTTTTTTCCCTACAGAATTTGTAGCATGTCAGTTGGTTGGTAAGTTTAAGCTACTTGTATCTCTAGATAAGTAATCCATGAAAATAACCAAAAGCATTTTACAACTAGCCCTGAGAAAAATCAGCTCATGTTTATGTAACATTTATTTATGTCCCAGGCAGTGTTACAAGCACTAGATTAGAAATATAAATAAAGCATGGTTTCTATCGTCAGAGGGCTAAGTGCCTTCTAGGGGAGGGGTGTGTGTGTATGTGACACACGCAGAGAGTGAATGCTCTTAAGTCCTGAGACTCTCCTAACTGCTTCCTGAGCTTTCATGCTGCTGTCACACCCGTGCTCATGTAAGATAAGCTTAGATTCTCTAATGCAATGTAGATGATACTCGGTGGACATGTGTTTGCAATGAGGTATTAGTAAGGGTCATCTATCGCCTTTATTTAAGACCACCTGGAGAGTGGAAGGAAGAGAACTAAAAATCGATTCCAAAACCAGAGGCTAGAACACAGTGGTAGAGCTCTTGCTGAGCACACTCAAAAGTTCTGGATTTCATTCTCAGTACTGCCAAAACACAAAAGAAGAGAATTCATCCCCGAGAAGAAAACTGGAGTAAAGACATATTGTTAGTAGGGAAAACAGAGAGAGAGAGAGAGAGCTTCTGTGTCCTTTATAGATGAAATCAGACACAGAAGAAGATGAAGACATTTCTAAATTGATCCTAACAGGCCTGCTGATAGATCGACTGTATAAACTTGTTTAGTCATGTGCTAGCTAAGCTGTCTATGATCTATACTGCCTTGAATCTTCCTTAGGTAAATACCGTGACTCTGGTGTGGGGATAAATCACCTGCAAGGAAGAATCCATGAATCACCCAGCATCTACTCCTAGTGAAGTGATAAATGGTTGATACTTGGTTGTGAAATATTGACTATGAAAAAGTCAGAAAGTTTAACTACTCATCTAGCGGTGGTGAGAACGGGCAGGAGATATTTGCACTCCTCAAAATAGAAGTCGGGGATAATTTGTAGAATTCGATGTCAAGTTCATCACAAGCTTGGCTCTGGCTTCCGCTAGAGCCTCAAATAGTATGCAGAAGAGTTAAGAGCTGTGAATTTGTGCAGTTGGGTTAGCAAATGCTCCAATCAGTGAAAGCTGTTCATCAAATAAGTAATTACAATCCATAAATAATGAAAAGGCTTGAACTTCCTCCCTGGAGTTAGATAGAGCTCCACTTGGTAGATTATGGAAGGCAGTGGCTGTGCCCAACAGCTCCTCAGCCAATGTCTGTTACTGAGTAAAGTGAGTTTATACATTTTAAAGTAGCATTTCCCTATGCATAACGCTGACATAAGGATCCCCTGGCTACTTTCATGGAAGCAGTTCTGTGGAGGTGAAGAGACATGGGGGCAGGAATGTCTTTCCAAAGCAAACAATGTCTGCCGAAACCAAAAGAAAATGCACTAACACTGTGAACACACCCAGAGAGGGAACCAGAACACCAGTGCTTCCGGGTCCCATGCCAGATGTTATGATGTGGCCAGGTCTGCACTGCGTGTTAACCCTCATGGAGTCAGGAAAGTCAGGATTCTTATAAGATAGAAGCAAAACTGTAAAGAAGGTCTGGTCACTATGTGATTCACTTCATGAAGAACCAGCTGAGGGAAGTGGACCAGTCCAGATACAAGCTCCATCCCCCTCACAGCCACCAGACTGTGGAGTCCTTGCTGACTGGGGGATTGTTAATCCTCTGGGCTGCAGGTGTGTGCATGTCTTGGCAACACACATTGGACCTCTCCTCTGTGTTTCACTGTCACCCTTGCTAGGAGGTGTCAGTAAACCATTACAGGGCTAGGAAACAGACCGTTTTCTTTTTTATTACTACCTCTTTGGTTCGTTGACTGAAACCCCCTCATTCTGGCTAACAATCGGGAGGCTTTCATGAGAAAAGTGAAAACAGGTTGATGAACACACTCACTGCACGTTCATGGGGGAATATGCCCAGATTGGTGACTCTGAATGAGTGCACATTGGAACTCAGACTTCTGTAGCATCTATAGCATCTTCCCAGAGGGGGTTTTTGTGTTGTTTTGTTTGGAGAGGTGATGAGACAAAGGGAGAGTATTTGGGGCTTCTGGGATGGCAAGTTAGGGGACTCCGCTTAGGTGGGTTCTACCAGTGTCACTCATGGAGTAATGAAAGTTGTCTCTCCTGGTAGACATAACTCTGTCCTTCTGGACAGATAGGGAGTACAGAGAGGTTTTTTTCAATCTGCTTTGTAAGATTTGCTTTGGGTGTGTGTGTGTGTGTGTGTGTGTGTGTGTGTGTGTGTGTGTGTGTGCAGGGATCCATAGAGAACAGTTGACAACCTCTGGTCCTTCGAGCTGGACTTACAGGCTACTGTGAGCCACTCAACATGGGTATTGGAGCCAAACCTGGGTCTTCTGAAAGAGCAGCAAATGCTCTTAACGTGCTTAGCAGTCTCTCCAACCTGTGTCTGCTTTTCATCTCCCTTGTGTCATGCGGATTCTTGTGCATCTGCTTTTTTTCATCTGCCTTGTGTAACAGGGATTCTTTTGCCGAACTGCTATATTTTAGGGTATCTTGTTCTGCTACCTTTCACTATATAAATCTTCTTTTAGAATGTTTACTTTCCTGTCTTGGACATGGTAATGCAAGGAAAACAAGTTTGCAATCTTTCAGGCAAGTGGGGACAGTTCCCTACTAAATCACCGAATGTGAAGTTAGATTTTCACTCGTTATAGATATGTTTGCTAGAAGCTTTATCAAACCCACAGGAAAGTGGCCATTTCCAAGTCTGATTTCCACCATTATGTTTTCAGTGGGACAATACAAATCTGGAACCTGTGTGTTTGGGTGCATGTGTTGGTAGGACAGGACCAATAGGGTTCTGTGAGATTTTATGTCAAGTAGACACCAGAATTGGTTTAGAGCTGCAGATGCTTTTAGGATGGGGTGAATGCTCAACTACATTAACATCTCTCTGTATGCTCATCCTTCACTTTTCACACACTCTTCTCTGTTTTTTTCCCTCCACTCTGCCCCATTCCTAGAGGTTTAAAAGACCTGGACATTTGTCATTATTTGGGAATGGTAGTAGTTCAACAGACTCTCTGGAACATATGACAAGAGTCATCTAATGCACTGGACCTGGTGCTGCATAGCTGAGAACTTACGTTTTTTTATGCTGATATAGAAAAATGAAACATTTCTTCCCATTGGCTGAAATTGAAGTAGTTTTCTTTACTCGATGTCACTGTCACCATCTCAATTATGATTTCTCTCTTGCCAGTATGCCTGAGATTGTATAGACATGGAAAATCTCAGTTTTAATAGTTTCCAGCCAAACTATGCATTCTGGATTGAATCACACTTATCATTTGAATGTCAACAAGTGTATGTCACAAGTTTTTGTAGAGGGCAGGAAGTTCCTGTTCTCACTTGAATGTTTTACTGTTGGGATGTGCTACAGTAAACATATATATATATATATATATATATACACACATATATATATGCAGTTGCAAATGATACCACTGTCTTCATGGATTCTCCAAGAGGGCTGAAACTTTGGTGCTTTTATACCATAAAAATAAGATGAGTCATTCTGTTATAAACC